ACAAAGTTAATCACACTCTGCAGCCCTTAGCCGTTTGCCAAATGGGGGATCGACTTGGTTGGTCCACTTCCCACCAGTCGAGGCCAGACCAAGTTCGCGATTGTCGCCATTGATTACTTCACCAAGTGGGTCGAGGCCGAACCCCTTGCCACAATCACCGAGCGGAACACCACCAGGTTGATCTGGCAATCAATCGTTTGCCGATTTGGCATCCCCCAAGCCATCATCTCCGACAACGGTAAACAATTCGACAACGCGAAGTACAGAAAATTTTGTGCAGATCTCCAGATTCAACCATGCTTCTCTTCCCCCGGTCATCCCCAAGCCAATGGCCAAGTTGAGGTCACCAACCGTTCTCTTCTGAAAATCATCAAAACTAAGCTCGAAGCTGCTAAAGGCCTTTGGGCTGAGGAACTACCAAGTGTACTCTGGGCTTACCGAACCACTGCTCGCACTCCCACTGGGGAAATCCCTTTTCGCTTAACATATGGCGCTGAGGCAGTTATTCCGGTAGAAGTCGGTCTGCCCACCCCCAGGGTTTTACATCTGGATCTCGCCTCAACCGAAGAGCTCCATCGAACAGACCTGGACCTCATCGAAGAGCTCAGAGAGACTGCTGCCGTCAGATTGGCTTCGTACCAGCAGAAAATGAGAACACACTACAACCGCAGAGTTCGACCACAAGAGTTCTCTATAGGCGACCTTGTCTTGAGAGAAGTGACTCTGGCCACAAAGAATCCAACCGAGGGCAAACTGACAGCCAAATGGGAGGGACCCTACGTTGTAAGAGCCCGACGACGACCAGGCACTTACCGACTTCAAGACATGGAAGGCCGAGACCTTCCCCATCCCTGGAATGCAGAACATTTGAAGCGTTACTATCAATGAGTTTACACTTTTGTATTGTCAACATTATTGTATTTCCCTCTTTAATACATAATGCAAATTCCGACTGAAGTTCTCAGCTTTTATAATTTAACTGTCTGTATGTCGCTTCCATGACACTTTCACTTGCAGCACTTCAAAGCCTCGGCCAGACCGAGCACTCAAAGCCTCAACCAGACTGAGCACTTCAAAGCCTCAGCCAGACTGAGCACTTCAAAGCCTCGGCCAGACCGAGCACTCGAAGCCTCAGCCAGACTGAGCACTTCAAAGCCTCAGCCAGACTGAGCACTTCAAAGCCTCGGCCAGACCGAGCACTAGATGCCTCAGCCAGACTGGGCACTTCAAAGCCTCAGCCAAACTGAGCACTTCAAAGCCTCGGCCAGACCGAGCACTCAAAGCCTCAGCCAGACCGAGCACTTCAAAGCCTCGGTCAGACCGAGTACTCAAAGCCTCAGCCAGACCGAGCACTTCAAAGCCTCAGCCAGACCGAGCACTCGAAGCCTCAGCCAGACTGAGCACTTCAAAGCCTCGGCCAGACCGAGCACTTGAAGCCTCAGCCAGACTGAGCACTTCAAAGCCTCGGCCAAACCGAGCACTCGAAGCCTCAGCCAGACTGAGCACTTCAAAGCCTCAGCCAGATTGAGCACTTCAAAGCCAAGCAGGACCACTTTTTAACACTTAGTCACATTTTGAAGCTTATTCACAATTCCAGGACCACGTTTTTACTTAGTTAGATTCCAAAGGTATTCTCACGTACTTCACTTACTAATCAAATCGTCTCCCACCCCACCCAGCTAGTTTCTTTAATCCCTTCTCTACAAGTTTACAATTAACTGTTTAGTCACGATTTGCAACCTACTTTTCTGTCCTCATCCATGGATTCTTCATCCGTCCTTATTAAACTGGAAGCACTAACCCCATTCGAATATTATGTTCTACAATTTCATAATCCAATCTTTCAATGAACCACTATCATCCTCTCAATTTTCATACAAATCCAATCTCACTCTGCAGGGAGGAACTTTTAACTTAACTTTGCACGAAATTTTTATTGCACAATTTTTATGACCAATTTTTGTGAACAAGACTTCATTCATTTTAGACAATACAGGCCAACACAGTCAACTGACAACATAAACGCAATTTTATTCATTCACAATGTGCACACAAGTTCATTACAATAAAAAAAAAAAAAAAAAAAAAAAAAAAAAAAAAAAAACAAGCAAACAAACACAGAGAGGGGGCTCTTCATCTATCTTCGTTATTCCTCCTCGCTGGATACAAGCTCTTCTTCTTCAATGCCCTCGTCCAGGGGGGTCTGGGCCACATCATCTTCACTAATCGTTACACTACTCAGGTCCAAGTCTGGGAACAACTCTTCAGCTCTGCGTTTGAACATCTTCCAACCGCTGTCCCAGAACTTAGCCATTTCGTGCTTGTAGAAGTCTGACTGTTGGAAGCTCTCAATAACTTCTGCCTCCGTCCTACCTCCAGCAGTCGTCCTTGATGGGCCCACCTCCCCAGATTCTTGCCCAGCTAGACTCCTGGCGACTGCGGCATCTACTGCCATCTGAAATTCGGGAGACCCTTTGTATTGCTCTACTGCTGCGACGCACAGATCGGGGTTGGCCGCCCTCTCAGAAGCCGCCTTCGCCCTCTCTTCGTCCAGCTCTCTCTGCAGGGCCCCCCTTTCAGCAGTCGCCGTTGCCCTTTCCTCTTCCATTCCCTTCCTCAGACTCTCCATCTCCGCCATCACTTTCGCCTTCTCTGTCTCCAACTCCCTCACAAGCCTCTCATTCTCCTCCTCTGCTTTAGCGCGCTCATCCTCCAACTCCTTCAACAGATCCCCAATTCTGGCATCTGCCTCATCTTTTTTCCTGATCAGCTCCTCATTGCTGCTCATGGCCTCTTCATGCCGCTCGACCGCAACGGCGCAGGCCCTTTCAGACTCCTCCAACTTTTTCTGTTCGCCAGCCAGTTGGAACTCGAGCGACACGACCTTACGGCGTGTGTCCTCTAGCTCCAACTTGGCTGCTTACAGCTCAGCATGGGCAGTCTTCCAATCGGCACTCTCCTTCTTCAACTTGGCCAACTGGGCCTTGGCCTCTTCAGCTTTTAGCTTGGCAGCTCCTGCTTTCCTTAGAAGGGCCCCTGCCAAGGTGGTTACCTCCATTTGGGCGGAGCACAACCCCCTCAGCAGGTCAGCCTCATTGAATCCGGATGCCGAGCGCAGGGCTGTTTCCTCCACAATCTTCACCAAGCGGTCTGCCCCCGCCCTAGCTGGGCCTTCTTCTCCCTCCAACCTTCCAGCTACCGTGCGAGCGTGATAGATTGCCGTGGCCAGACGGACCCCTCCTTCCTGGGGGGCAGGGCCCTTTTGGGTCTGCTCTCTCCCGCTCGGCGCAGCCTCAGTCAACCCAACTCCTACTTGCACTGTTGGGGCAGTCTCCACAACCTCCAGTGTTGGGGTGACCACCACCACCTCTGGGGTATCCTTGGCCACAGGGACCTCCACCTCAGTTGGGGCCACCTTAGCCCTCTTTGCCCCAGACTCATCTGTAGCTCCCTCTGGGGCACCCCTCTTCTTCTTCTTCTTCTTCAGAGCCTCCCCCTCCTTTCTGGCCTGTTCTTTTACAGGATCTACTGGGGGAGGTCGTGGCTCAAAACTGCTTAAGTCCTTCCCCCCCAGCGGCCTTGGGCGCAGTCGGATCCTCTCCCGCGCGATCGGTTGAGGCGGTCGGTCTCCTCGCGCTTCCTTCAACTTCGTGGCTTTGGCAAGTATGGCTTGATCCTCTACTTCCTGAACTTCTCTTCTCGCCTCCAATTCTGCTCGGTCGAGGTCTCCACCCCTCGGCTGCGGTCCCAACCCTGCCTCAAACAGTGCGGACGGCTGAACAAACTCGTCCCATTTGGCCTTCTCTCTCTCCCTCCACTCCTTCACCCTCTTCACCCTCTTCACCCTCTCTTCCGCTGCTGCCCCCAGTCTTGGCTCCATCGACCTAACGGGCACCTTCCAGATGGTGCGCACTTCCAGTCCCCCACTGGCAGAAACGTAGAACCACCGTGGCCGCCACCCCTTGATCGATGTCGGCAGCCCTGCCACCAATCCCCTCCCCATCACTGCCTGTAGGGTGACCCACGTCTCTTGCTGCCCCAAAGCCTTATAACAAGAAAAGAACTCGTCTACCGCCATGGCTTCCCCTTCATTCGCCTTGGGCCACGCGCTAGCACAGGCCAGCAGAATCTTCCATGCATTGGGCATCAATTGCCCCGGTGCTACCTCCAGACGGTTCAGTACATCAACCACCACTTGGGGCAGTGGCAACCTCAGCCCACCTTTTAGCGCCTCCTCGTAAAGGGAAAACTCCCCGGGCCTGGCATCAGACGGCCTTTCCCTTGATGTTGGCAACAATAACTCCACCTCAGCCGGATTCTGGTATTTTTCCCTGATAGCCTCCAAATCAGCCGCAGTAATTGTGGATTTGTCAGCCTTAGTGTGCCAATGATCCGGCTCTACCTGGCTTATTGGCCTTGGAGCCACTATTAGGGCCGACGCCTGCGATTGTCCCACCAGTTCCCCTACCCCCACCATTCGTGTCTCCGTCCTATATCGCGCTGCTAGCTCCTCTGCATCATCGTCTCCCAGAGGGTCCACCCTCACATTCACCACTTCTTCTTGTGCCATTTCTAGGGTTTGCTTACGAGTCACTTCTGACGCAGGAGCAAGGAAGTTGAGAAAATGTTGCACAGGTGTGTCGTACGCAATGAAGGAATTAACACTTGGGTATTTTGAGTTTTTGTCAAAAGGTAGGTGAAACGAATTATACCAAAAACCCACGGTTTACCCGTATTCCATGGATCCACATTAATTTTTGCCCGTTTAAAAACCTTTCAAATCAACCGCCAAAACCGCCTTTTCAAAACCCCCCCTCGTGACCTATCGTTTCATTTCTGCTCCAACGCTTCACTTCCCCCACGATATTGCCACGTGTATGGCCACGATGCACTGTCCCCTCCCCTTACCCTGTCCTTTCCATTTCACATCATCACATGGCACCCCCCCTCTTTTTGAGCCCCGCGCCGTCCTGGTCGGCACGCCGTAAAAACAAGTGCAGCTAAGAATCTTCTTGGCAATAGTACGGCATGTTGAAATTTTCTAATGACATATAGTTCGGGTTTATGTCAAACAAAAAAACAAAAACACATGCTTTAATGGTAACATCCTCTATTCCATCAGCTATTATTAGTCGAATAGGAGGTGCAACTTTGTCCGAGTCCATAAACCGCTCCTTGACAGCATGCAAGGAGTTCTTAACCAACTCAAAAACCATAATATGTTGATGTGTTGGAACATACCTGTTATGAAAGCAAATAAAGTTAATGTAGAACATAAAACAAAACAGAGAAGAACAAAATCTTACTTGGAATTTCATTATTTGGACAAACAATGTATACACTAATTTAGGAGTCCAACACAGCAATTTTGTTTATTTAAAATGATGATATTTTACATGGATAGGCCCATAAGGCCTACAGCCCACAGCAAACAACTCCAAACCCATCGCTTGGGACCCATAGCATAACCCGGTTGACAAAGCCCAGGACAGCTGGAGGCCATCTGGGCATGGAGGGCCAATGACATTCGGGCACATGGCAGATGAAACACAGGCCACATCAGCAGACAAAGATCTGCAGAGTTATTGCCACAACACATCACCATTAATGCGGCCCATCACAGCATTTATTACGACAACACCTCCCCGTCGGAACAGAGCCCCCTCACCCTGAATAAGGTAAGGTACGACACAGGCTTTCGGCGGAATGGGGCACGTCGCAAGGGACAGTGAAATGATTACCAAAGGATATAAGCAAGAATCGAAGACAAGAGGAAGGTTAAGCTTTTCTATCTCTCTCTCTCTCTCTATATTTCCTTCTTCCACTACTGATTTGCTCGCCGGAGGGTTCACTGGGGGACTACCCCGTTCCCCTTTGAACTTGCTTGCAGGTCATCTGATGGAATCATCCGCCTGAATCGAAACTTAAAGAGTTTGGACCAGCCCGACCCATCCACCCAAGACGAACTGCATCATTAATATTAAAGACAAACATCTCAGAAAAGCATTTTCCTGGTTTATGGCAACATGAGCTAAGAAGAAAAAATAAGTTGAAAGGAATAAGAAGAAGAATAAGAAGAAAATCACCAAACAATAAAGGAATGATAAACTAATTAATTAATTAGAAGGAAAATAGCTTACGAGAATGTAAAACTAGGATCCCCGTAAATATTAACGTCAGGTACACTACCATATTCGCGCAAACAAATTGCATGGGCATCCTCTCTGGCACATCTTGCTACCTCTACAGGAGACATTTTTGTATGTATATAACCCACACAACCAGGGAGAGGGTTGGGATCATGCAATCCCACATGCTGCCCTAAGTTGCAATCAAAGTTGAAGTGCATGATAATCAGACAATATTGCTCCAATAATTCAAATGTTATTGCATCTACTTTTTTTTATTAAAAACTCAAAGATAAATGTCATTTGTGGGTCTCATCATAAGAGAGAGAGAGAGAGAGAGAGAGAGATTGGCATTTTGTTGAATTTGGTGCTAAATTTTGCACAAAGTTTGGAATGTTAGATAGCACACCATTGGAGATGTGAATTTGAAAGATTTTTTTTACCAAATTTTGGCTTTGGAATGGAGGATAGCATACCATTGGAGACATGTCAAATGCAGTAAGTGGGAGTAAGCGCTAACCAATAAGCATACGAATCCCGATTCTTGACATGTAGAAGCGATCCAGGAACTGCTGAATCTCGTCCAGATCCTCATAATTAATCTTTGGATCTAGACTTTTCTTCAGCTGTTGAACCCCCAAAGCCATTATGGGAACAATATTATTGTGTCTCACCTTAATTACCTTAAGCATTTGAGTGAATTCCAGCTCATCTTTTGTGTCCATGATCTCAGGAAAGCACCTAAGGTCACGAAAAGAATCCAGATACCAATCTCGCACCTAAAACAGAAATATATATACCACGTACTTGGCTCAAATAATGAAAATCCATTCAAAACCATTCTAGTTACTTAAACACATTAATCCAAACAACTAGATAAACTACATTAGCAACCAACAAGGCAGCAACGAAATGATATCCTATGCACTAATAATTCACCATCGAATCCTTGTTAGTGACCTAGTAACACTTGAAAGCCTAAAGGGAAAGCTCAACCTAATAAATAAATAAACAAACATACATAAACACCCATTTTGAGAATATTCAAAGCCACAGTCAAGCCTCAGGCCTCGTTTGAGAACAGGTTTTTTTAGCAATTTTTTAACTTTTTGGCTAAAATGTGATGTAAAAAAAATTAGTGTGTTTGGGATGATTTTTTGACTTTTTACGAAAAGATGTGCAAAAAGTAGAGAGAAAATGAAATCTTTGACTTTTTGGTATGGGTTGTTGGCTTTTTAGTTTTTTTAGTAACTTTTTAACTTTTTGGCTAAACCGGTCGCTTCCCAAACGAGGCCTCAATACCATACTTAAATTAGCACAAATTTATAATTTCCGGTGTCACACTACAAGAAAAGTCACTTTTGGCGATTAAATTTTTAGTCGCCAAAAGTCTGTTTTTAGTCGCCGAAAGTCGAAATTTGACTTTCCCCGACAAAATTCTTTAGTCGCCACATTTGCCGCGTATACGTTGTCGGCATAGGCATTGGCGACTAATATTTTTTTAGTCGCCAAAAGACAGGTCTTTCCCGACTGAAATGTTAGTCGCCAATAGTGTTTTAGTCTTTTGAAAATCATACATTTACCGACTAATAATTTAGTCGCCAATACTCAATCAATCGCCGACTAAACGGCTTAGTCGCCAAAATCAAGACTTTTGGCGACTAATAAGTTTAGTTGCCAAAGGTGTTTCCGTCGAAAAAAAACTCCGTTTTTTTTGCTTTTTCTGAGTTTTGAACCGCACCAACCGTCCCACATTCCAAACCTTTTTGCAACACACTCCCTCCACTATGCCACTACAACATCACATGAATATATTTGCAATATATATTATTTATATAATATATTGACAGTATTAATACAAAACAATATATATAAATATAATTATTTTAATTCAATATAATTTATGTAAAAAATAAATTATTTATTAAAAAAAATTGTAGGCCACTTTTGGCGACTAAATCCATTATTTAGTTGCCAATTCTATGATTTTTGGACTACTAATTATTTTTTTGTCGGTAAAAAAACAAGTTGAAATTAAAAATAGTAGTTTTGGCGACTAAATCTGTTTTTAGTCGCCAAAAACGTGTCCTTTGGCTACTACACTGAATTTTAGTCGCCAATTCACTGTTTTTAGCTACTATTTTTTTGTAGCCAAAAAACCTTCATTTTCAGCGACTAATCTTTTTTTAGTCGGAAAAACACCTATAATCGGCGACTAAAATGTTTTTTAGTCGCCAAAACCATCACTTTTGGCTACTAAATTATTTTAGTCGCCAAAAACCGTCACTTTTGGCTACCAAAAAACCTTTAGTCGCTAAAACCCCTACATTCTGCGACTAAACTTCCTTTTAGTCGCTAAAAGCCTGGTATTCGGCGACTAAACTATTTTAGTTGGCAAAAGAGTTCAATTTTGGCGACTAAATCCATTTTAGTCGCCAATTATACAACTTTCAGCGACGAAAAATGAATTTTTAGTCGCCAAAAACGCTTTTTCTTGTTGTGTCAATAGTGTGGGGGCAAATTCTTGCCCAGGAGATGCAACTACACCATCAACAACATTTTGAGAGAGGGAAACAAACGTGTTGAGATACAATAGCCAAGCTTAGAGTGGAGTAGCATTTATCATTTGGAGTGAAGCCATTCAAGCAACCTTAATTAGATGCTGATATGATTGGAATTAAAATTAAATGTGTTCTGGGAGATTATAATTCTTTAGTCTATGTTTTTGTTATGTATTTAGCTTCCCTAGCATCTAAAAACAAAATTAAAGGGGATCGTTGTTTGCCTTATTGTATTAGTTCTTGCTTTATGCTGTTCAATTTTTTTACTCAGTTGAATATCTAGATAAAGTCATAAATATAAATTATCTTAAGGATTAAAAAATAAAAACTCTATTTTTTTAAACCTTGAGAAATTAATGACTTCTTTGAGCGAGCATTTATATTACAAAGGCATGACATGTTCAAGGCATGTCTTAAAATCTCAACTACTTCACACACAAAGTCAACAAAATAAGGATATGTATTTGAATTTGAATTGCTCTAATTTTTGAATAAAAAAATAGGTAAAAGAAGAATAAAAGTTCAAATACTTGCACTCTGTTTGAATTCTAGATTTGTCAAGAGAAAAGGGGAAGAAATTGACAATGAATTTAAAAGTGCTAAAATTTCTTATTCATGTTTAATTGGATTAGAAAATTGAGAAAGAAATAATTTGGCATTCCTTAGAAATTATTTATTTTTTTCCTCGTTTACTTATAAGAAGTATAGAGACAATTACATTCACTTCCTCTTTGGTTTTAGATTCAAACATAATATTACGATTTCAAGAAAAATAACCATGTTTACATTGTTTTTAATTCTAAGGAAAATGATACATTGTTTATAAATTTTTGGCAGAAATTTAATAACATTTAACAATAGAATTGCAAAATCTGGCAAAATTTTGACTGGATTATGGAAAATTGATAAAATAAATAAATAAATAAATAATAAAAAGTGACATTCAACTGAAGATAAAAATTTGACTAAAACATCTAAAACTTTGGTTGAAATTTCTGTTAGAAAATCATTGGGATTCTCATCAAATGAAAATCCTAACTAGCGGTTTCTCTTGAGTTTTGGCGTGTGACCACATGATCTACTTTGATCATTTGATCCATTTATCATACAGTCAATTGAGTGAATTATTTATGAAAAAAATCATATTGATATGACAATTGTATTTCTATATTATACAATTTTTAAAAATATATATATATATACATATATATTTGTTTTAAAAAAAAAAACAAATATAATTGTATATATTCAGACTGTAAAAGTTTGTTTGTTTTTAAAAAAAAATTAATGATTCATCCATATAATTTTTTTCATCTTAATCTGTTAGAATGAGACTCTTAGTAATAAAAGTTTCCCGTTTCAGAAACTCTTACTAGTAAAAGTCTCAATTGTATATATTCAGACTGTAAAAATTGTGGATGTAGCAATGCTATTGAAATGCCCTCCAAAATGACTTGTTCAAATTATCAAAATAGAGTATTTAAAATAATTTATATAAGTGCACTTATTTAGATAAGTTCACTTATTTGAGTCAAATTGTCTTTCTATTTTTCTGCACATCTTTTTATAAAAAAAAATCAAAAAATATACTTATTTAGATCATTTCAAATATTTCTCACTAAAACCCAATAACATTTGAATTGGGACCCTAAGGCCATGTTTGTTTGGGCGGACTGAATTAGCATTCCTATGACTAATAGTCCTAGGACTACGAATCCATTGGATTATGTATCCTATCTTAACTAATAGTCAAGTTTAAAATAATTAGTCCGTATTTCAATTGTTTAACCAAACATCAGATTAATAATTTTATTGGACTATTAGTCCAATCCCAAACTCATGTCCACCCAAACAAACATGGCTTAAGTGTATACAATTTCAATCCCTATAAAAATTTTGCTTTAAAATTTTATGTTAGCTAAAAGAATTGTACTTTAACGTCATGCCAAGACAATAAAAAAGTGTCAAAGTGTGATTGAAGATATGTTCAATTTATTTACTTATTTTATTATTTTTTTCTCTCATGAGATACATATGTCATCCACAAAAGCCATCAAAATGAAAACACTTACCTAAGTTCAAACTCCTTTGTAATGCCGTCCAAGCTCAACCCTTACCTTCCAAATTGGTATCTACCAAATTCAATAGGGGGCACCATCAAAAAAATTAAATAAATCAATAGTGGGTCATCTTTCCTGTGGAAACCCCGATTACTTGCCACGTGGAAAATATGGTCAAATATGTACCATAGTCAAGCTGTCCAAATAATATAAAATTATTTCATTTTCAAATTTACAAAAATGGCCAAGTAGTCAAAACATACCAATCATACCACCAAAAAGGACATGGGCCAGAGACAAAGGGAAAAAACACCACATGTAAATAGGGCTCCAAAGGCCACAGTCCATAGGCCCCCCAAATTCATGAATAAAGAATGTTTTTGGGCACATACCCTTTATCTGAAATTCTTTTAAGAAAGGTTACTCATTCATTAGGGTTATTAATTGTAGGACCCTCTTTTCGAAGGTAAGTTAGGAAATTAAAAAAAGTTTAAGGGCAACCCTTTTTGGCCTAGGGCTTTGAGCATTAAAAATTAGCTTTTTTATAAAAAAGGAGGGTGACACTTAAAAGAAAGAGGGCACATTACCTTGTCTGGGGTTTGGAGCCCTGTAAAGTAGAAGGGAAATTCACAATCCAGTGGAGCTTTCGATTTTTTTATTTTTATTTTATATACATGGAAAAGTTTATAAAATTTATTATCAATCTCTAATTAATTTTAAAAAATTATCCTGAGTTGTATTTTCCCCAAAGTAGAAAGTTGTAACAATAATTTTGATGGAAATTACATATATATTTTTCAATTCATTGAAGACTATTTATAACAATAGAATTATATTAAATTAAATATTTACTGACTTTATTTGGCTAAAAATTATAAGCTAACTTATGTTCATAACCTAAGGGGTTTGGTTGAATGAAAAGATCTATTATACTTAATGTTCTAGATTCAACTCTATTTATTTACTATTGAGGGAGTGGCAACGCAAACGGTTTGGTCGAGTGAAAAAATCTAAATCTTAGGTATTATACTTATGCTGTGTTTGGTTGGGAGATTTGGAGAGGAATTTGAAAAGAGAAAAGAAAAAGGTGTGTGAAACTAGGTGAAATGTAAGTATATTTTATTCACATTTCACCTAACTTTTCTCTTTTACTTTCTAAATCCCTCCTCAAATCCTCAAACCAAACACAGCGTTAAGATTTCTGCCGTAAAGATTATCCCTTATAGTTAGGTGTTTTAACTTATTTTTTGTCTTTCTAAATCATTTTCAATTTTGAATAAAAAGTTCACCTTTTCACTTTTTAAATCTATCTTGACTAGATCATTTTAAAAATGTGAAAGGAAAAAAAAATTTGTCCGGTAAAAAACAAAAGACCAACAGAAGTTAAATTTTATAAATAATTTTTTTTTTAC